CTGAGGCTGAGGCTGAAGCAGGCTGAGGCTGAGGCTGAGGCAGGCTGAGGCTGAGGCTGAGGCTGAGGCTGAGGCTGAGGCAGGCTGAGGCTGAGGCTGAGGCAGGCTGATGCTGCAGGCTGAGGCTGAGGCTGAGGCTGATGCAGGCTGAGGCTGAGGCAGGCTGAGGCTGAGGCCGAGGCTGAAGGCAGACTGAGGCTGAGGCTGAAGCAGGCTGAGGCTGAGGCTGAGGCTGAGGCAGGCTGAGGCTGAGGCTGAGGCAGGCTGATGCTGAGGCAGGCTGAGGCTGAGGCTGAGGCTGATGCAGGCTGAGGCTGAGGCACCTGAGGCTGAGGCCGAGGCTGAAGGCAGACTGAGGCTGAGGCTGAAGCAGGCTGAGGCTGAGGCTGAGGCTGAGGCTGAGGCTGAGGCAGGCTGAGGCTGAGGCAGGCTGAGGCTGAGGCTGATGCAGGCTGAGGCTGAGGCAGGCTGAGGCTGAGGCCGAGGCTGAAGGCAGACTGAGGCTGAGGCTGAGGCTGAGGCTGAGGCTGAGGGGCTGAGGCTGAGGCAGGCTGAGGTTGAGGCTGTGGCTGAGGACTTGTGCCGTTTGCCGCTGCGACTGTCATCGCGAATGCGACTACGACTGCGAGAACAGCAGAATTCTACAACTGGATTTTCATCTGAATCTTAAGGGGAATGCTTTCAGATATGCTTCTACACATCGCTGTTAGGTTGCTTTGCCGGGATAATTCTACTATTTTTGAATATCCCTCCTGCAGGGGGACAGGCCCGACTCAATATTGGTTAGAACGGAGCGGGATTCGGCAAAACCCGCTACCGCGCTTGCAGCGGCTCGTGTGCGTCGGGCCCCTTCGCCCTCTGCGGGGCAGTATTTTCGGCGGTGGACAAACCTCCCTTTAGTAAACCTCCCCTTAGTGAAAACGGCCTGGGACCGAAACCGACAGACCTGGACCCGCAAAAATGACGGCCGCGACGCCCTCTCGCGAACCGAAACGGCCAATTCCTTAATCGACGTGTCAGGGTAGGAAGTCAGTCCACCCCCGATATCGGGTCGGGCGAAAGGGGGGGATAGCAACTGGGGGGTTTGAGAATCAGCTCACGTAGCTGATTTTCCCGGCGCCTCCCGGCGCCGGAGGCGGCTATGTATCGAGCAATGGGCCCCTCGGTGAGGCCGAAACCAGCTGCATGCAGCAAATTTCGTACCCCCCCCTTTCCCAATCCCCCCCTCCCTTTCGTCCGGCCCGACGATATTTACGGGCTCCCCGACGCATCGGGGCCAAGATTTATGATGTTCCAACCTGCTTTAGCCTTGGTCGCTTGATCATCGGAAAGGATTTCGAACACCAAGACAGTACCGAAACTCGAGGGGGTCCACGTGCCGGGCCCTGTGGGACACTCGGCCGACACCGCGTCGACACTGCCTCGGCACTGTTTCGACACCTGTCGGGGTGCTCGAAGCTGACAAGCCAAGGTGCAGTCATGTGTTGGCGAAGGAGCAACACACACACCCATACCCATAGGGGGGTCGTTGGGAGGAGGACTGGCTATGGGTGTGGGTGCGGGTTGTCGGACCCTGGGGGACGCTCCCGTTCGAGCGGGGACCCCCATCCGACAACACGCACCCATAGCCCTCCCCGACCCCTCCATGGGTATGGGTGTGTGTTGTTGGTTCGTCATGTGTTTGGTGGCCGAGTCCCTGCGCTCCCGCCCTCGAGGCCGATCACGGCCCCAGATACAGAGCCTGGGGCAGGGGGGGGCTCCGTGGGCCCTCCCCCTCCCCGCCCCCTTCGGTGGCGCGCGAGCGTGGATTAGCGATCCATGGATCTGGCGCGCGGTCGCCAAATCCATGGATCGGGGGGGGGTCCCCTCTCAAAATGCGGCCCGTGCCGCCTCGCTCGCCATGGCCCCATCCCCCCTCCCCTCCCCAAAATGTGGCCCCTCCCCCCTCCCCCCATCTTACACCGAATAGCTCCCTGGCGCGGCACTTTGGAGTTTAAATCCCACCAGCCCTCTGGGCGTAGGTGGTCTAATGTGTTTTTTTCCGAACCCCCCCCTTCCCCTTCGGGAAGGGGGATGCTCCCTATTGATATACACCCACTCCCCAGGCGACTGGGAGCCAACCAAGGACAATGCGGGCACCCCCCCATCATCCCTGTCAAAAAACCATGCAGAATACACTTGGCGTTGGCGGCGGCTGCGGCGGATGCGGGTGCAGCGGCTGCGGCGGCTGCGGCGGTGGCGGCGGCGGTGGCGGCGGCGGTGGCGGCGGCGGCGGCGGCGGCTGGCGGCGCGGGGGCGCGGTGGACGGCGGCGGCGGGCGGCGCGGCGGCGGCGATAGGCGGCGGCGGCGGCTGGCGCGCGGCGGCGGCGGCGGTGGACCGGCGGCGGCAGGCGGCGCGGCGGCGGCGGCGGACAGCGGCAGCGGCGGCGGCGGCGCGGCGGCGGCGGCGGCGAGCGGCGCGGCGGCGGCGGCAGCGGCGGCGGCGGCGGCGGATCCGCC